CCAGCGCCCGGCACAGGCGCTTCCAGAGGCCGCCGCCGTGGTCGCCACTCCTCCTGCTCCCGCCCCAGGAGGACGGCGTCGAGGACACGAGGACGCAAAGCCGGCACGAGCAGCACGTCGGGCACATGCTATATCGCCCGCGCGGACAACACCGCCGCGAGGCACTAAAGGCTCGCGACGACACGGCGACACCTTCAGCGCGACACCGCGTGCCTGTCTCTCTCTCTCTCTCTGACTCTCTCTCCACCTCGCGCATACGACAGAGACGCACGCCGGTGGCCTGACTGCCGCCGGCGGTGCTGCCCGCCCCGCGCGCCCGCCACCCGGGGCGCGGGCTCCACGTTGTCGCCGTCGTCGTCAGGTGCGTGCTCAGCAGTTTCGGTGCAAGCGAACGCCCGTGAGACCGCGGCGCGCGGCGGGCCTGGCGCTGCGGTGCACAGCAGCGGGCTGCTTTCGCCAGACTCGACAAGTATAATATTCAAATCAAAGGCGATACGACGCGCTGTTGTCGGCTCCTGCGCATCAGCACCCAGTAAAATAGCGTAAGCAGACTTTTTTCTGATTTTTATTTTTTTCTAAATTTATTTTCTGTTTAGGTGTTGGGTCTTTTTCCTTGATTCTTTAAGGGTGTGCGCTTTTTTGGAGTTAAGTACCCGGTTTACACCATCTCCCAGTGGTCAAGGTTTTGGAGCTTTTAGGATCAGCGTCTCCTTTCAATTCAGGGTTTGAAGAAAGAAGGTGACCAAGCACTGTGCACTTCCGCGTTGGAGGAAGCCATCGACTTGGGGAGGGCGTAAAAGTACGGGCAGAGCCAGCAGAAAGGGGAAGGGAGGAAGAGAGGGAGACTCGTGTGGAAGGAGAGGGGTAGAGAACTCCACCACCAGATTGCGCAAGACGAACCTTTTAGCAAATGCGATTACTTCGAGATAAAGTTGACTTCTTTTGGAACGCGCGTGTGTTATTGTGAACATGACAGAGAGAGGAGGGAGGGGGCTGGATGCATGTGATCCTTGTGAGCCATCAAAAGCAAACACGTGCGACAGTGCAAGTGAAACGGGATGAGAGAGAGAGAGAGAGAGAGAGAGAGAGAGAGAGAGAGAGAGAGAGAGAGAGAGAGCGCGCCTTTTGTGCTTTCGAGCAGGGGTCAGGGCGTAAGTCACGGCCGAGGGGCCGAGCGTGAGCGGAGCGGGCGACAGGCACCAGGTAGCGCCCTGCTGCGGCAGCCCTGGCCTACATCGAGTGCCTTGAGTGCCTTGAACGGTGGCCGCCATATGAGTGCCACAGCAGGCGGTGTGACCGGTGCCACGTTCGGTAGCAAGCGAGTGACAAGGGTGCCACAGGCGGTGTGATGGGTGTCACATGTCGAGTTATGGGTGCCACATGCCACATACGGTGGCATGGGAGCCACCTGGGGTAGGTGTGATGGGTGCCACATGGGGTGGGTGTGATGGGTGCCACACGGGGTAGGTGTGATGGGTGCCACATGGGGTGGGTGTGATGGGTGCCACATATGGTGGCATGGGTGCCACATGCGGTGTGAAGGGCGCCTCAAGCGGGTCACGGGCCACCACCGACAGCAGGGGTCCCACTGCAGGTGGCGCGATGGGTGACGTGAGCGCTGTCATGGGTGCCACAAAGGCTCCGCGTGACGTGACCGCGCGCACGGCGGAGTCCCTGGCACCTTCCATGAGGTGAAAGAGGCCACAGGACCGGAAAGAGACCTCTCTCTCTCCCCTCTCTCTCTCTCTCTCGGGTCCCCAAGAATGGTTGGGGGCTTGCAACTAACTTCCCACACACGAGTTCCTCGGCGCACAGAGAGAGAATGAAAGAGTTTCGGAGCGTAACTGAATGGGGTGCACGGGCGGAAGTATCGGATGTCGTCCGGCACGGGTCTCTCTATTCTATATGGCTGTGCGCGGTGCGGGCTCCTCGCGGAAAACCGGAAGTACCCC